AAGCCGTCTACCTGGGTGTCACAGCTCACAGCAACCTCATACTCTTGGGCTTAAACCATTCTCTTGCCTCAGCCTCCCAAGTGGCTGGGACAACAAGTGCCCACCATAACCTCTAGCCGTTTTTTTTGGTTTTAGTTGTCATTGATGTTTGGCAGGCCTGGGCTGGATTCGAACCCGCCAACTCTCGTATATGTGGCTGGTGCCCAGGCCGCTTGAGCTACAGCCACCAAACCAAAAGTGCATGTATTCTAATCCTAGGGTTCCTCTCTCTGGTAAGACAAGCCTCTCTGTGCACCGGTTACCTTCCCCTTGCCTTTTGGAAATTGATTTGGGGAACAGCCCAGTGCTATGTTCTGGTTACTGCTGTTGTAAATGAACTCTCTTTTATTTCAAACCCAGTCATCACATGTTGTCCATCAGCATCCATGAAACTGGCAGGCTAACTTCTTAGCTTACAAATAGGATAAAGTCTCAGACCCTTCACAGTTTTTAATAAGTAGTATATTTTAGGATATACATACATAATGTGCAGTACTTGTACATTACATTCAGTTCATCTTAGTATCTGTGATACATTTCATGATACTTTTAATGCTTCATGGGATTTTTTTTTTCTTTTGAGACAGAGTCTCACTCTGTCACCCTTGGTAAAGTGCCGTGGTGTTATGGCTCACAGAAACCTCGAATTCTGAGCTGAAGTGATTATCTTGACTCAGCCTCCCAAGGAGCTAGAATTACAGGGTCTGCCGCAGTGACCAGCTGTTTTTAGAGATAGCATTTCCTTCTTGCTCAGGCTGGTCTCCAAACTCCTGAGTTCTGGGCAGTCCACCTGCTTTGGCCTCCCAAAGTGCTAGGATTTCAGGCATGAGCCACCATGCCTGGCCCATGGGTTTGTTTTGAATGTCAATGTAACTTGCAAACAAAACTTTTATTGGTCATATGTATACCAAAAACGTTATCCCAGTTTGCTGCTTGTTCCATTAGTGGCCTTTTTTTGGACATTATTCTACCTGAACAATCACTCATCTTGATTAGTTTTTCTTATTTCTGTGTTCCTTTGTTTATATTGTTGACTCTGAGAACAGGTTTCCCATTTTCTTTGAGACAGAGCCTCAAGCTGTTCCCCTGGGTAGAGAGCTGTGGCATCACAGCTCACAGCAACCTCCAACTCCTGGGCTCAAGTGAGTCTCCTGCCTCAGCCTCCCAAGTAGCT